CTTTCCCCAGGTAGCTATCCAGTCCATTTCTTAGTTGACTCAGGACACCACTTACCTAACATCTCCTTAGAGAGACTTTTCTTGACAACCTGTCTGAACCAGCAGGCTCCCCAACTGCAAGCCCCCTCCTCTACCTTGTAAACAAACTTGTAAACCTAATATGGTATTTAAAATTATTCAGTGTGTATCTGTTGGTTACTTACAGTACTTTAGAGCACTTTTAAAGCAAGGTAAATTTTAATGGGCTCTTACTACCTCCATTTAGACTCCTAGACCCTTAATATATACCTACTTAGAGTTGCAGTGAAAAGCCACATTATGTTTGATAGCATTACATCATGGAGATATATAAAACAGATCATGAAGAGGTGATATTAGGAAAGTACTTTAAGGAACATTGATCATAAAGGCTGCTTTGGGGCTTTGAGGTATACTCTGTCTGTATGGTACACCTTTATATATATTCACAGATATAAGGAAAGCCTTAAGGGAAAGGCACTGACAAAAAGTATGGACCCATGAGAGAAATATTTGGAATGAGTTAGAGAAAAAAAACAAACACATTTTGAACTTCGATTTGCTAGTATGACAAACTGAAGTAAATCTTTCTCTTTTGTGTTTCTTAGTACTGCTGGCGGTGGACAGGTTTTAACTTCGGCTTTGACCTGCTTGTAACTTACACCAATCGATTCATCATTTTCAAACGCAATACACTGAATCAGCCCTGTAGTGGATCTGTCAGTTTACAACCTCGAAGGAGCGTAGCATTTAGGTAGGTTGAGATCTTCCCACCCTATTTCAACTCACTCCCAAAGAAATATAAAAGATGAAATAAAACCTTGGTAATTTACACCAACAGTAGTAGAACTTTGATAAGATCCAAATATATTAATGTGTAAGGAAATGATAAGGCTCCATTCCTGTAATATATTAATAATCTAAGTCATAAGATCTGGATCTAGTATGTCATGGAGAAAGATAGGCTGTAATATGAATAATAAAGGATTAATACTGAGCTTGATGCTGAAGCTGTTACTTGCTGCTACTCCTAGCAAGTAAAAGATCCAAACTGGAAATACAGCAAGGTATTTTTCCACGAAAACATGCTTGGTATTATCCTTCACTTTCTATAAGATTTAATATGTCCAACTTTGCCTGATAGTTGAGCTGGCAATATTTTTCTAAAGAGGATGCTGACAAATTAGAAAATAGCGTAATGAACATTTTTTTAAGTCACTTATTTATACTTACCTTAAACTATACACAAAAATTAACTCAAAATGGAGCAAAGACCTAAACATATAAGCTAAAACTATAAAATAACTCCTGAAATTAATGTGTAAGCTGGAGATGAGTTCAGAGAGTCAGCCAGGGGCCAGATAATGTAGGGCCTAGTAGATCATGATAAGGAAGAGTTTGGATTTCTTCTAAGTGTGGTATGGAGCTAATGGAAAAGTTTATGGAAGGAAGTGACATGATCTAACTTGGACTTTAAAAAGATGACTTTCATTGTTGTATGGAGAAAACACTGGGGAAAAGCTTCTTAGTATTGGAGCTGGCAGTAATTTCTACACTATAACACCAGAGCATAGGCAGCAAAGAAGAAAGAGAAATTGGACTTCAGCAAAATTAAAAATCATGCATAAAGAGCATTATCAACAGAGTGAACAGGCAACTCACAGAATGAGAGAAAATATTTGATAACCATATATTTAATAAGGAATTAATATCCAGAATATACAGAAATCTCCTAAAACTCCACACAAAACAAACTACCAGATTCAAAAATGAGCAAAGAACTTAAATAAGCATTTCTCCATAGAAGATATAAAGATGGCTACGAGGCCCATGAAAAGATGCTCCACACCATTAATCATCAAGGAAATGCAAATCAAAACCACAATGAGATACCACCTCACACCCATTAGAATGGCTATTGCCAAAAACAAAACAATATTGGTGAGGACATAGAGAAATTGGACCCTTGTACATTGCTGGTGGGAATGTAAAATGATACATCTTTTGTGGAAAATGCTGTGGCATTTCCACAAAAATTAAACAATTACCATAAGATTCAACAATTCTTATTCTGTGTATATACCCCAACAAAATTGAAAGCAGGTACGTGAACAGATATTTGTACATTCATTTTATAATAGCACTAGAGGCCCCCGGCCCCACCCCCTGGTCAAACTCCTGGTCGAGGGGACAATTTGCATACTATGCTTTTATTATATAGGATTATTCACAATAGCTAAAAGGTAGAAGAAACCCAGTTTCCATTGAGAGATGAACAGATAAACAAAATGTGGCATGGAATATTACAATGGAATATTACTCAACCTTAAAATGGAAGGATATCCTAACATGCTACAACATGAACCTCAAAGACATTATGCTAAGTGAAATAAAGCAGTCACAAAAGAGCAAATACTGTATTTATTCCACTCACACAAGGCATCTGGAGTAGACAAGTTCATAGAGACAGAAAGTAGGATAGTCGTTGTCTGGAGCTGGGGTTACGGGAAATGGGGAATTTGTGCTTACTGAGTACAGAGTTTCAATGGGGCAAATGAAAAAGTTCGGGAGACAGATGGTGGTGTGAGTGCAGAACAATGTGAATGTATTTATTGCCAAGAACTGTATACTTAAAAATGGTTAAATGGTAAATTTTATGTATATACTACCACCATAAAAACGGCACTTATTTTTTCAGATATGTATAATTGTACAAGTTTGTAAATCTAAATGGAATCATTTATAGTTTGAAAGACTTTTTAAAGTTTTTTTTTTATCAAATAAAGACTTTTAGAGAATATGGAAGACAAAAATAAATATGAAAGTGAAGGGGGGCTTATTTAAATTAATCTGTGGTTTTAAATAATTGTATATGTATTTTTTTATTTGTGTTGTTTGTTTGTTTTTAAATCCTAGATTACGTTTGGCCTCTTTTGATAGTAGTGGAAAACTAATATGTAGTAGAACAACTGGCTATCAAATACTTACACTTGAAAAGGATCAGGTATGTTTGATTACTTTTTTATTTCATTATAGTATTTGTCTTTTGAATCCTTTTAATTAGAATTTAAATTCTTTGTATTGATTTCAGAGAGAAAGGGAGAGAGAGATAGAAACCTCAATGATGAGAGAGAATCATCGGTCTGCTGCCTCCTGCATGCCCCCTACGCAGATTGAGCCTGCAACCCAGGCATGTGCCCTGACCGGAATTGAACCGTGACCTCTTGATTAATAGGTCAACACTCAACCATTGAGCTACACCAGCCAGACAGAATGAAAATTCTTAAGTAGAAATAACATGTGATTTAAAGGTTGGTTTGACAGTGTTTTTGAAGGTAAAGATGTACATATCATGTTCACTACTGTATAATTTACCCCATTCCAGAATACAACTAAGATATAAAAAAAAAAAAAAGAAAACAGTTTGATTTTGAGGAGCAGGGAAAAGCTTTAATAGGGAAATAGTAAAAAAAAAAAATAGGGAAATAGTTATTTATCTTCAAAGAGTTATGAATCTTAATTGCTTCATTCATTGTCTTCATAAGTGCATTTATTTATGCAATAGCAAATACTTTGAAGGCAATCCAGTTTGTCTCTATATAGTTCTTGAATATTGAGAGAACATTATCCTCTAGCACAGCAGTTCTCAGCCTGTGGGTCGCGACCCCTTTAGTGGTCGAATGACCCTTTCACAGGGGTCGCCTAAGACCATCCTGCATATCAGATATTTACATTACGATTCATAACAGTAGCAACATTACAGTTATGAAGTAGCAACGAAAAAAATTTTATGGTTGGGTCACAACATGAGGAACTGTATTTAAAGGGCCAAAAGGTTGAGAACCACTGCTCTAGCACAATAGGTTTCTAAAATAACAGACATCTCTAATGTTCCCAGATTCTCTAAGGCCATTTGTTTCTTCATTTTTCACATTCATGTTGAAGTTTCAAAATGTCATGATGAGAAAGTAAACCATTTTAGGAAAGTAAAATGAGAGCCATTAAAATATTGCTGAAATTTATTTCTATTAAAACTAACCACCATTCCAAAGGACATGCTGTTTTATTAAAGGCTTCAGAGCCTATAGTTCATATAAATTATTAGCAATTTTCCTCAAACTGAAGAGCCTCTCATGGGAACATCAGAGTTCAGCATTTCAGGGAACCCTGGAATTGATAGTTCTAGCCTCACATACTCTGCCCAGCCTTTTTACAGAGGGTCCTCCAATCATTGCAGGAGCTCTGGCAACAGAGCTGACTCTCATGTGGTAGATAGTATTTGAGTAGGAAAGAAAGTTCAAATCTGCCTCTATTGGAATTCTCTATCAATGTGCCCCCTGGAACTGCATGAAAAATGACTATCTTTACCTTCTACCTCGAACTTCATAAAAAAATATTGGCTCAAAGCAGCCAGAGACTTAAAAAGGACTAGACCAAGATAATAATTGTATTCCAAGTGTTCCTTTATTTGTTCATTCAGCAAACATTTGCATTTCTGCCACATGCTAGTTTCTGTGCTGGAAGTGGAGAAAGTAAAGAGGAGCTTATGTTATAGTAGAGGCCTAGTGCATGAAATTCATGAACTGGGGGCGGGAGTGGGGTGGTGGTCCCTCAGCCCAACCTGTGCCCTCTTGCAATCTGGGACCTCTCACTCCTTACCACCCACCTGCTCACTGCTCCTTAGTGCTACCGCAGAGGTGGGACACACTCCTGCCACCACTGCTGCGCTTGCCAGCCGTGAGCCTGGTTTCTGGCTGAGCGGCTCTCCCCTGTAGGAGCGCACTTACCACCAGGAAGTAGTTTCTGCATTGAGCGTCTGCCCCATGGTGGTAAGTGCGCATCATAGCGACTGGTGGTTCTGGTTGTTCCCTCGTAACAGTCGCTTAGGCTTTTATTTATTAATTTTTTAATATTTTTATTAATTCAGAGAGGAAGCGGGAGGGAGAGAGAGATGGAAACATCAATGATGGGAGAGAATCATTGATTGGCTGCCTCCTGCACACCCCACACTGGGGATTGAGCCTGCAACCAGACATATGACCTTGACCAGAATTGAACCCAGGACCCTTCAGTCTGCATGCCATTGCTTTATCCACTGAGCCAAACCGGCTAGGGCTTAGCCTTTTATTATTTAGGTAGATAGCTTAGTTTAAGTAGCATGGTAGAGATGAGCACAGAGTAATGTGTAACATTGAGGGAGAAGTCTCTAACCCTTACTATGGGGTTGGGGGCAGGTATATTTATTGGGGGAGTTTGGAGAAGGGAAGACAGCTCAGGGAAAATCACCTCTCCTGGAAAAGTTGACAAGTGAATGGATACCTGAACCAAACTTCAAATGATGAATAAGATGGAGGCAAGGGAGCACATGGGTCATTCAAGGATCTGAAAGAGGTTTGGAAGAGTTCAGTAGACTAAAGCCAGGGCTGTAGATGGAATTTGGACTTTTCTCTGAGATCCCTAGAGAATTATGGAAGGATTTTATTTGAGGACTTTTATATGTGTTTCACATAGGTTGTAGATGTTTGCTATGGAAAAATTAGAAAATATAAATAAGTGACAAGAAAATAAAAATAAAAAAAGAAAAGAAAATCATACTTATCCTACTTAGAGATGACACCAAAATTAAATTTTACTGTTAACTATTTGCAACCTGCTTTTTCCCCACTTTGTTGTGCTTAGCTTTTCTTATCAGTAAATACAGGGTGTCAAAAAATATGTATACACACCTTGAATCATTATTAATTGCAGTGTGTTAAATCTGAAAAAAAAAAGTTCAATTGAGTTATCAGCTGTTAAAGTACGTAAACATTTTCTTGGGACACCCTGTATTTAGCCACACATTTTTATTTCTGTATAATATTAGTTATTTTGTATATACCATAATTTAAATAATTCTTCCCCTTTTGGGGGGGGGTCTCACTATTTTTGAAAATGTACATATATCTTTGTACATTTTTCTCATTTTTTAAATGAAAAATTCCAAGAGGTAGAATTCTTGTCAGATAGTATATACATTTCCTTATAGCCAAATTGCCCTCCAGGAATACTACCCAAATTACATTCCCGTCTAGCAGGAGAGTATAACCAAGATTAGTGTATTATCATTCTTTCTAATCTTTTCCCAATATAAAAAGTGGAAACAAATTGTATTTAATTTTCATTTCCTTGGTTACTGGTATAGTTGGGGTTTTTGTTTGCTTCGTGGTCATATTATTTTGTGTAAATTGACAGTTTATATTCTTTATTTTTAAATTTTTATTAAGGTGTTTGTTTTCTTGTTAATTTTTAACAGCTTTTATTAAGAGTAATAATGGCATTCTCCCTCCAGAGAACACACTTGTGCCATTCTCTTTTCCTTCTCCTCCCCCTCCTAGGCTCTCCTGTTGCTTCTTGTATGCCCTTCCTTGTTTCACTGCCCTAAAGTATGTTTTTCTGCAGTCAATGAATTCTTGCTTTTCTTTTAAAAAGAAAAAAGTAATACAATTTGTGATATGCTATAGTTTTCCCATTGTGTCATTTGTTTCTCAAACTTCATGAAGTATGCCCTGACTGGTTTGGCTCAGTGGACAGAGCGTTGGCCTGTGGACTGAAGAGTCCCGGGTTCGATTCCAGTCAAGGGCATGTACCTTGGTTGCAGGCACATCCTCAGTGGAGGGTGTGCAGGAGGTAGCTGGTCGATGTTTCTAACTCTCTATCCCTCTCCCTTCCTCTCTGTAAAAAATCAATAAAATATATTTTAATAAATAAACAAATAAAATGATTACAAAGAGGTTTAGCATAAAAAAAAACTTCATGAAGTAATCTATCAATCTAATCACTTCATGATTTCTTCTTTTGGTGTGGTACTTAGTCTTAATAATTAGGATTATATAAATAGTTGTCCCTACTTCTTTTCTATTCCTTTTATTTTTTTACATTTGAGTATTTTGTGACATATCTGAAATGTATCAGATTTACCAATGTATTTGAAATGCCAGTTTTATCATATACTAAATCCTTATGTACTTGGTTTCATTTCTAAACTTTCTGTTATGTTTTGTTGATTTCTTTGTTGCAGAGACAACAATACATTGTTTTAACTAGACTAACTTTAAAATTAGCACCTAGTAATACAAACTACCTTCATTCTTCTCTTTTCAAAAATCGCTGGATTCTTTATGAATGATTATTCTATATCAGATATAGAATCATTTTGTCAAGTTCCCCTCAAGACTTCTTATGAGGACTTTGATTTATATTTGTTAGTATATGTGCTGTTGAAGCAAGCACTGATTTATATTTGTTAAATATATACAATAATTTGTGGAAAATGATATCTTCCTTTCTGGAAAATAATATTTTCCACATTTATTTAGGTCTTCTCTTATGTCCGTAAAATATATAGTTTGTCCCCCATGTTATTCCTGTATATTTCTTGAAAGTATAATGCTAAGTATTTTACATTTTAATTGCTAATATGAAATGATTCTTTTTTCTAATAGTTTTTGATAACATATAGGAAATCTAGTGATTTTTGCATATTTTATAACTACTCATCATATAGGACTATGCTAACTAGATTTGCATTATAGAAGGCTCTCTGAGCAGTGGTAAGAAAAATTAGAGACATTATAATAGCAGGAAGATGACTTAGATAAGAAATGGGTGTGGTTCAGTGGTTGAACTTTGGCCTATGAACCAGACGGTCATGGTTCAATTCCCGGTCTGGGCACATGCCTGGATTGTGGGCTCCAGCCCCAGTGTGGGGCATGTGGGAGGCAGCTGATCATTCTCTCTCATCATTGATGTTTCTATCTCTCTCTCTCTCTCCCTCTCTAAAATCAATTTTTTAAAAATATTTTTTTAAAGAAATTATGAGAACCTTAACTTAAGATAGCAATGGGGATGAAGAAATGTTAGTGGATTCTAGAAATAAAGCAGTGCAGTGAAAGAATTTGGTTCCTAATTGTGTGTGAAGGTGTGAGAAAGAAAGTAATCAAAAGTAATTTCTGGTTTTCTGAGTTGGGCAACTTGGTTTATAGTAGTAGTTTTTTCCTGAGATTTGAATTATAAAAGGGAAAATGACATCCTGGCTGGGTAGCTCAGTTGGCTAGTGCATCATCCCAATATGCCAAGGTTACAGGTTCAATCCTTGGTCAGAGCACATACAAGAGTGTGTGTGTGTGTGTGTGTGTGTGTGTGACATTTTTGTTCCCTACTTTTTTGTTGCTGTTGTTAATCCTCACCCAAGGATATTTTTCCATTGATTTTTAAAGAGAGTGGAAGGCCCTGACCAGTTTGGTTCAGTGGATAGAGCGTTGGCCTGCGGACTGTAGGGTCCCAGGTTCGATTACAGTCAAGGGAATGTACCTTGGTTGTGGGCATATCCCCAGTAGGGGGTGTGCAGGAGGCAGCTGATCGATGTTTCTCTCTCATCAATGTTTCTAACTCTCTACCCCTCTCCCTTCCTCTCTGTAAAAAATCAATAAAATATATTTTAAAAAAATAAAGAGTGGAAGGGAGAGGGAGAGATGAGAGAAACATTGATGTGAGAGAGACACATCAATTGTTTCCTCATACACGCACCCTGACCAGGGCCAGTGAATCTGCAACCAACCAGAATCTAACTGGCACCCTTTAGTCCATCGGCCAACATTCCATCCACTGAGTCAAACCAACTAGGGCTCCCTACCTTCTTTATCCAAATTTATCTCACTGTTCCCCAACACAGGAGACTATATTGAGCCTATGTCAGTCATGCAGATGTTCCAGTTTCAGTCCCTCTTTATTCCAGGAATACATTCCAGAAGCATCTGGCTTAGTAAGAACTTAAAAACTCTAGTTTAATTGAAACCAAATGAGAAATCTACATATATCTGGACTATGTCCATTGACAAAATATGTAGGTACTTGACAGAAATTTTTCAACAATGAAAATAACTACTATAATTGAGCACTTCATATATGGCTGCTTTGCTGAGCTCTCTGTGTGTATTGTCTCATGGAATCCTATGATGTGGGCACTCTTTTTTTTTTTAATATATTTTTTATTGATTTTTCACAGGGAGGAAGAGAGAGAGATAGAGAGTTAGAAACATCAATGAGAGAGAAACATCGATCAGCTGCCTCCTGCACATCTCCCACTGGGGATGTGCCCGCAACCCAGGTACATGCCCTTGACCGGAATCGAACCTGGGACCCTTCAGTCCATAGGCCGACGCTCTATCCACTGAGCCAAACCGGTTTTGGCGTGGGCACTCTTATTGTCCCCATTTTACAGTGAGGACACTGCAGTTGACAAGGTCAGTGACTTGCTCCAAGTCACACAGGAAGTGGGTGGGAGTTTTGAGATTCGAGTGTTGACTCTCAGACTATAGATACAAGTTCTTAACTACCCTACTGTCTCCTTCAGTTCATTCAATTCAGCAATTTGGTTTTCTGTTTGTTTTTTGAATATTACTATCTACTTGTCATTAAAGCAACAAATTTGTTTTATAGGAACAAGTAGTGATGAACTTGGACAGCAGGCTTCTGATCTTCCCTTTATATATCTGCTGTAACTTCCTGTATATATCACCAGAAAAAAGAACTGAAAGTAATCATCATCCAGAAAATACAGAAAATTGAGGACCTTTTCAGCTGGAAACAGTAGCACTTTGAAAACTTTTTCGGCCAGCTTTAATTTAATGGCCCTATGTTGTTCACATCTAAGGTGACTAACAATAACAAAGGCCTTATGAACTGTACAGATAAAACAGAAGACTATTCTCATTCTCGTTACATTTCTATGACTATATTAAAACATTTTAAAGACAAGAATATATCTGTCAACCCATTTCTGTTATAAAGATGTCAGCTCATGCTTTTAGCATCAGTAGAAAATCATTAGGTAAATTTCACATTTCTCTGCAACCAAATATAGATTTAATTTTTAGCTTAAACTTTGATCTTACTTAATGTTAATGTACCTCAGTTATCCATCTGTAAATTTTGTCTATAAGAATGCTAAAGGAATAATTTGAAAGGCTAACTGTAAATTCTCTTTCAATTGACACATTTAAGGCTGTTCTTTAATTTTTTCAAATGCTCTTTATGATTCCTCCTATTATCCTTCCAATATGTAGTTGTTTTTAATCATTAAATACTTTTTTTCATGGCTTTGGAGACTAAATTGAAGAAACTTTTTGTTTACCTTAAACATTTTTTATGCTATTTTATTTTGCTTTTAATTTAGTTTTTCTAGGGTTTCAACAACAAAAGAATCAGCTTCAGACTTGCAAATGACTGGAATGGGGGAGAAAAATCAGTGTGATTCTGAGTATATTCTTTTGCCTTACGTGGTCTTTTTTCTTTTTTTTACATTTTTGTACAAGTTTATTATTAGCTCATAAGATTATTTATGTTCCAAATATTACACTCTAAATATTTTCATATTCTCTACTCTTAAGAATTATTTATGTTCAAATTTTAGTTGGGAATCCTGTTTCCTACTTACTCAGGACTTTATAACCTCTGAATTGAGTGCCTTTGAGTTACACATGCTAATAGTTTCCTAGTAAATATAAATAAGGTTGGAGGATGTCATATAGAAACTGGTAATAAAGCATTAATGTAAAAATAGATCTTATTTTTGTCAAAAATGAGATGTACACTTGTCATGATTTATATATGTTGGTTTCTTGTATTCACTGCTGTTTTGAAAATAGCCATGCTCATCGTCTTTCCAGAGTGAATTCTTTTTGTGGTTAATGTATATTTTTAGTATGTTTAAAAAATGGGAATCACTTTTATGTATCTGTACAAATGATAAATACCCATTTGGAAAATGAATAAATAAGTTCTTATATGAAATGGACAAAAAAGCCTTAATTGAAACCAGAATTTTTTAAAGGTAGATATTTTCCAATTAGATTTAACTTTTGGAATTTATGGATAGTTTTTCTTCCTCAGTAATATGTCCATAGATTTATAAATTGCTTTTGGCTTTCCAGAATTCATCCTCCAGGTTAATTTAAAGGAGGCTTTAAATGCCTCCCCTTCCTCTGCCCCCAGAACTGCAGTTTAAATGTTTCTAATACAATAATTTGGCTGCATCAAGAGGCTACATTTCTTATTCTTATATTTGCTATAATTATATTTCATAAGGTGCTTTTGGATTTTTTTCAATATTATAACATCAGAGCTTCTTTACCCTTTATATTTTAAAAAATGTAAATACCAATCTTGAAGTTTTTTAATAATTGAATTTTTACAAATCTTGGGAGTAAAGATAATTAAGGTTTTGAGGATCTTAGTAGAATTGGCTGTTTTGTTTCACTTATATAAATCAAATTGAAATTATATATGGTTCTCTCTCTTTTTTTAATTATATATGGTTCTTGTGTGTGGGTTCACTCCTGGCCAAATTGTGTCATCCACAAACAAAATAATTACTTCTTTAGTCACAAGTAGGGTGTGTTCTCATTTGAGAAACCGGGAATTGTCAGTTAGTACTTCATATTGATAGTAAAGACCTGCTTTTGTTTTCTGACCCAATACTTTAATTTTTGCATACTTTTTACTATTTTCAATAGGAATATTTTCAATAAAATGTTAATATGAGCTGACATCATGTAAAGTATATGTGAAAGCAATTAGACCCTTTGCAAAGTCTTTTTCTTAACATGCTATGAGTAGAAAAAAATACCCAGTAATAATTATTTTCATTTGACTATCAGTAAAGAAAAGGTATTTAAGAGAAAATGTTACAGAGTCACATGCTAAAGTATGAAAGAGGGATATGAATGTACCTTTCCTTTAGAATATACATAAATATATATATTTGGTTTGAAACTTAACAAGCCAAAATTAAATGAACAGTACTAGTTATTATCTTTTTTTGTTTGTTTTTTAATTGATTTCAGAGAGAAAGGGAAAGGGAGAGATAGAAACATCAGTGATGAGGGAGAATTCTTGATTGGCTACTTCCTGCACGCCCCCTACTGGGTAGAGAGCCCACAATTCAGGCATGTGCCCTTGACGGGAATCAAACCCAGGAACCTTCAGTCCACAGACCAATGCTCTATCCACTGAGCCAAACAGCCTAGGGCTAGTTATTAGCATTTTTACCAAGTGTTTAGCAGCCAACATTTTATTGAATTTCAAGCCTTTGAATACTATTACCATGTTTACTGAACAATTTGTGACACACATGCAAAAATAGGGTTACCAAGACTCACTGTGGGTATCTAAATTTGAGTTCATTAAAATGAAATGTACTTTCTCAGTCACAGTAAGCACATTGCAAGTGCTTAGTAATCACACGGAACTACTGGCTACCATATGGGACAGTGCAGATAGAATATGCCCATCATTGCAGAAAGCTCTATCAGATAGATTTGGTCTAGAATACTGGACTGTCAATATTAAAACCATGTCAAAGGTTTTATTCCCTTAAAGGTGAACCCATGTAAAGAACAGTAAAGATAATAGAGACAGGGTACAACTTAGGTGATGATTTGCCAATCACCTAAAATGATATGTTGAGTCATATTTCAAGCAATGTGGATCTAATCGCTTGATAGCATTAAAAAAAAAAGAAAAAGCATAGTACAGTTCTTTCCCCAACCAGAGCCTAAAATTCTTCCCAAAGTTTAGGGTACAGATGTAAAAAAGCAAAGTCTCAAACAACATCAATCACTGTTAACTAGTGGTCAGACTACACCTAACTAGGGGAACATTGCTGACTCAATACCAAGCATCGCCCTCTCCGGTTTGGCTCAGTGGATAGAGTGTTGGCCTGCAGACTAAAGGGTCGCAGGTTCAATTCTGGCCAAGGGCATATGCCTGGGTTGTGGGCTTGATCCCCAGTAGGGGGCATGCAGGAGGCAGCCTATCAATGATTCTCTCTCATCATTGATGTTTCTATCTTTCTTTCTCTCTAAAATCAATAAAAATATATTTAAAAAAAAAGTTAAAAACCACATGAACTACCATCAATGCTTCATGCCCCTGACTCTTTTCACAAGCTGATCCTACCTGGAACACTTGTCACTTCTTTGCCTGGATCACTCCAACCCATCTTATAAACCTCAGTGTCTTGGCCATCACACATCCTCTGGGAAGTCTTCCTGCAAGTCCAAGTCTGGGTGAGGGACTGAAAGTTCCAA